GTACGGGCATGCTGACTTCCAGTGGCCAGGCTTCCTGCAGTTATAGCATAAATAAGATTCAGGAGGGGAGTCACTTACTTGTGGCTTTCCCTTGGTTGGCCTTCTGATTGAATCAGCCTTCTTGAAGAACTTCTTAAACTTCCGGAATTGCTTGACCATCATGGCAAATTCCTCATCGTAGTTCTCCATTTTTGAGCTTGCCGGCTGGCTGGAGGAAGGTGTGTCACAGCTTCTTGGGCATATCCCTTCACTTGATGGGACTCTTGGAGTTGTCATCAGTGCCGTGGGGAAGGGAGTGACTTGTTCTTCCTTCTTCTTCTTCAGCTCGTGCTCATAGGTTCTGAGCTCATCAAGAAGACCTTGGACAGTGTAGTTTTCCAGGTTTCTTCCTTCTTCCATGGCTGTGGCTTTGGTATACCACTCGGTTGGAAGTGATCTCAGTAACCTTACATTCTTTTCTTTGGGAGAAAGAACGTGGTTAAGTGAGGCAAGATCATTCAAGATTTTGTGGAATCTTTCATCCAACATATCAAATGTTTCTCCGGGAAGCATTTTGAAGCCTTTGAACTTCTCAAGCAGGACTTCTATCTTCTGCTTTCTCAAGTCCTCTGATCCCTCACACAGTTTCCCAAGGCCTTGCCATATCTCCATGGCAGTCTTGAGATGCTTGATTTTGGAGAAGGTGATGGGATCAAGTGTCTTGAAGATGGCTGCTTTGGCAACGTTGTCCAGATTGTGCTTTTTACAATCTCTATCATCCCATTTTTCCTTGGGCTTTGGAATGTACTAGACTACATCTGAAGTTGCTGGATTCCTCTCAGGATTCTCCATTTGGATTTTCAAGGGTCCATCCTCAAGCACCATCCACATGCAGTTATGTAGAGCGTAGAGATGTGCTTCCATCATGATCTTCCAATCATCATAACCTAAGAGAGAAAACTTGGGCAAACCGTGATCCATATTGTTCACCATTATGATCGCTTCTCGTTAATCTAATCGTAGATAGTGAGAAGTTTGCTCTGATACCAATTGGTGGTCCCAAAGTGGTGAAATAAAAAGTCTAGAGGGGGGGGGGTGAATAGACTTTGTTACAGATTTAAAATCTTTTTCGTTTCTTTTGAAAACGTGAAAATAAGTGTTAATCTAGAGTTCTTGTGAACTTTAGATTATGTGCGGAATTTGGTGGGTAGAGTGAGCAGTAATCAATATGGATGGGTCAGTTTTTACAGTTAATATAATTGCGAGTAAGAGTAAAGATAAAAGAGAGAGACATGCAAACTTTAACGAGGTTCGAAGGTGGGGTAATCCTTCTACGTCCTCAAAATCCACTATGTAGTTGGTTGTTGAATAATGAACCAACAATTACACTTGTGTGAATTTCTGCACGGTATATCTTCGCAAGGCCAATGTTGCTACTGCACTCGTGCTGGCTTTGTTGTTCCTTCGAAGGTCACGCTTCTTCAACAACTGCA